GTATTTTCATGGTGTATAAAGTAAAACACTCTTATACCAAACAAAAGAACACTACCAAAAGGTTAACTACCGGAATTCCCCTCTGGGAATTTTAACCTATCTTGAATTTTATTACAGCTTTGTTTTTTACACAATTATTCTGCTCCTTTAACTCTTTCTGTTATTGTTCGATTTATACACTAAGCCACTCTCTAATAAAATTCAAGTATTGCAACAGGCATGGGGAGGAATCGTTGCTGAGATTCCCCCCTCTATCGTTCACATTCTATAATTTTTCCACTCCAGACTCATTTCAGTGTGGATAGAATATGGATATAATATAAAAAAATAATAGTTATATCAAATCTTTCATATTAATTATGTCAAATTTTTTAATTACACATAATGGTGTGTGCTATTTTTAAAATATTATTATTAATCTATAAACACATGTAAAAAATATAAGACACGTGATCATGTATAATTAAAAAACTTTACATAATAAATACATAGAAGAACATAGGATTTAGTGTTGTCATACGTTTTAGATGCATTCTATGGCAATTGAGATTAAGCACCCATAATCATGTTTAATGTGACGTTCATTATTAGTGCTCTTGCTCCTTATAATGACTTTGTGGTCATGGATGGACTTTCAATGGCCTCATTCATTTTTGGGTTGAAGTTTTAACAATGGAAGTCTCTGTTAGGCTATGTTTGGCTCAACGAGAGGAAGGGGAGGGGAGGGAGTGGAAGGATTTTAATATTATCTTGTTTGGATTTATAAAAAAAGAGAGGAGGGGAGGGAAAAATATTTTAATATGGACAATTTTGCTCTTATTTTATTTAAGGAGTGGGCATAATGTCACAACATGACAAAATATAGACATAATGGTCACAACATGACAAAATATGGACATAATGGTCATAATATGACAAAATATTATCCTTTCCTTCTAAATCTTCCCAATGTTAGAGGGGAGGTTGAAGATGGGAGGGGAGGGGAAATTTTTTAAAATTTTCCCTCCCCTCCTAAAATTTATGTGTTACCAAACAAGGAGAAATGATTAAAATTTCTCCCCTTTCTTCCCCTTCCTGCCAAATCCTCCATACCAAACACATCCTTAACGATGATTAGGATGGCTGCATCTTTGGGAATTTCTCTCATTCTGGAAAGAATAACTCCGTAGAAATCGTCACAAAATTACAAAGCAAATAAATATACACTTTCACCTTCATGCGTACCCCAGCACGCGCGCATTCAGAACAGGCGCTTGTTTAGCATTATTTATATAAATGTTTATAAGCACAGTTTATATAAATGAAAATAAAATTTTTAATATATTTTAATAAATCACAATTAAAAAGTTGTTCACAGATAATTCCAAACAACTTTGAGAGCAACATCTATACGTTATTTAAATTTTAATTTAATAATAATAACATAATTGTGTTGCAAAATCAATGAGAATCAGACTGTTTGATTGGCAGTGAACAGGAATGTGATGTGAGGCGTTGTCATCTGTTAGTTAAAGGGGGCGCAGTACCTTGATTAGCGCCTCATCCCCTTCCTATTTTACAGTCTTTAGTTTTTTCAAATCGTGGTCATTAAATACTAAATTAATCACTCACCTTAGTTCTCAGTTTAAGAAGTGAATTAATTAATATGTAGATATTAAAAAACTAAATTATTACTGCTTATTATTGCATCTGATTCTCAATATAAGAACTAGTTTGACATTTAATTTGGTTTTAAATATAAAACTGCAATTTACATTGTCTCTTATATTTATTTATTTTTTTAAAATAATCTTTCTAGTAGATACAGATGATTAGCAAGGATATTCTAAGAAAAAATAACACATATTTATTATAAAAAACCAACTTAACAAATTTTCTTAATCTATTCAAATTAATTAATAAACTCTTATATTAAAGATAAGAGATAGTAATAAAAAAATGTGCCCAGTCTTTTGAATTACCTTTTTTAATTATTTATAATTCAGAACAGAACACTTTCTTATTGAAAATTCTCTTAATACGTATCCCAATATTGGGAATAACTAAGAGCAGCGAGTAATAAAAGAACAAAGCATGTGGATTGCATGCAAAAGGAGGTCGTGAAAGATTGAAGTGATGTCGCTCAAGTGGGTATCAATGCCTCAATTAGCGCGTCATATGCTTCGCCCCAGAGTCCACATTCCCCCTGCAAATCGGGGTCCCAAAAAGCGTCTATAACTTTTAAAATTATTTATTTGTCTAAAATAAAAGCACATGTAAATAACTAAAGTAACATATCATTAAAAATGAGGATAATTCATAATTCTATCATTGAAATATTAAGTAATGGATGTTCTCTATAATGATAAATCAGATGGGAAAAGATGGGATGTACGTGAGAAAAGTAAAGTTCTGGAAAAAAAACATTATTAACTTGCCCATAAAGAATATTGCCTGCATATAAAAAAAAAAAAAGATAAATTGCAAGTAAAAGAAATTAAGATACACAAATTCTTAGGGACTGTTTGGTATGAGAAAAAATGAGAGGAGGGAATGAGAAGAAAAATTTTGATAAACTTGATTTAAAAAATTAAAAAAGTAGGGCTAAAAGCTTTTAATTTATTTTTATTACTTTTTTATATTATTTCTTTTTTTCATTAAAATTTCAAAACCCTGTTTCTTTAATTTTTTAAATAGGGCTCATTAAAATTTTTCTTTCTATCTTCTCCCCTCTCATCCCCTCTATTTGCCTCATACCAACCAATACATCATGCTATTTTCTTTTTTCTTTTTTTCAAAACATAACACCTTCAATGTCTTTTTCAAAATATTTTTGATATTTTTTATTTTGCGAGAGAAAGAGGGTGGAATTTTTAAGTTAGAAAATGAGATAGTTTCTTTGTTAAGAACTGTACCCACATTTAGTATATAACAGTATCTTAAACAGAATTAACTTTAATAGAAAGATATGAGTACTTACCTCAGAAAAAAATGAGATAATTCCAAAAAAAGAACTCGCGTGAAATGCATTGCTTATAATTTATTTATGTGAATTATATAGCTTTATATGGAATATTGATGGTGTTATTTTAATCTGTTTATATTATATTCAAATATTGTGGGGCAGTATATTGTCATCTGATCGCACCGCGAAGGCATGGAAGCATTCTTGTTTTAAATTTTCCCCGACAACATTATATTTTTAATGCTCCTCCGGTGGCTAATGAAATTTAATTTGAGAGTTGATATTAGTTATATATATAAGACTTATGTTATATTTTTATTATTTTTTTAAATTAATCTCATTGATATTCTTACAAGTTACAACAATAATTAAATGGGTGTTTGGATGTTATCAAATTATAGTTTTAAAAGTAATTTCACGGTATACGAAGTAAGTACTCCTCCTGTCATAAATGTAAAACTCATTTGGTAGTATAATTTATATTCCTCCAGTCCTATACTACAAAACAAGTCATATATTTAATACTGAAGGAGTATATGAGATGAATTTTATCTCGACTTATTTAAAAGTGATTTTAAAAAGTACTTTTAGGGGAAACCAAACACCCCTAAACAGGAAAGTGAGGAGGGAAATAAAAAAGATATTTATAATATTTTAAGAAAAAAAACATAACATATTAACTAATTTATTTAAATTAATTAACTAGATTTTACACTCGGACCATGCTGAAAGAATACGATGGAAATTAAGCAACCCCAGCTTTGAAAAATGAAACATGACATTTACTCTATCATATGCGTCATGTGTACAGTTATATTTAACAATTCATAAGAGAACGAACTAAAACAATTAAAACAGTCTAAACGCAAAACAAAAGAATCAAACACAGGTAACGTTGAGACCAAATCTGTGGGCGAGGCCATGCCCTTACATTTGATTGTGCCTTTGCTACCAACAATCTAATATTATACCGCATTCAATCCTAAGTATAATATTTAGTTTGTAATATAAACTGTATTATAAATTAGCTTTTATACTTATGGGGAATTATGTGTATATATATGGCTAACAAACGAAGAATCTTATCTTACGCGGACAAAACTAAGATGTGACTCAATATCCGATTCTGGATTAGATATAATTTTGCCATGGAGAAAAGCAAGCGTTGAACCAAATATTTAAAACAAATAGGCGGCAGGCCAGAAATGAACAATTCCCCGGGCAATGCAGGACTTGGGAGTAACGTTATTTGTCATATACCCGAATCGGAAAAGAAGTAATTCAAGAGCTTGGCTGCTTGCTGACGAAGGCGCCGCCAGCCTCCATCATCCGTCCACGGAAACAGGCCAATTCCACGCTTCCCACGCGCCATCGTAGGTATCAATACCCGCTTAACGCTCCTCTACAGTCATTTTTCTATGATACAAACTATTAAATTATATAAAAAAATTTAATTAAAAATAGGATACAAGCAATAAACATATAAAAAAACATAATTTATTTTTTAAAAGTATCTCTATTCATGAATACCGTGAAAATAATCAGTAATTAATAAAAAAATAAAAAATGATATTAATGTCTAATATTTTATCTTTAAAAAAATTACATCATACATAAAATAGGAATGAGTATATCGGCATGGAATAATTTTACAAAAGAAAAAAAAAACACTTTTACATTTCAGTTATACTCCTGACCCTAGATTTTCCGCTAAGAAATGCATTCTTCTCGGTTCAAAAGTCACAGGATGTGTCTATCTTGAATGATGTGTTGGGCAAAAAGCGCAAATGATCGTTATATTGATTGGGTTATTTATTTATTTATTTTTAATTAAATTGGAGATAACTAAAACTGACTTTTTTTAATATTAAATTTAAATTCATGTAAAAATATTGATATTCACGAGAAGGAAAAAGAGCAAAAGGACACAATAACCGAAAAGAATAATAGGCTGAAATTAAATATTAAAACCATCAGTATGACCGAAATTCACGGACGACAGTGAGGGGATGAACCTTACATTGGGGATATTTCAGAAATTATTCCTGGAGCCTTCGACGCTGCATGCCAAACTGCGAGCCAAATCGATGCTGTACCAAACTGGTTGTTGCAAAGGCAGTATTCAATCACGTAATTTCTTTAATGAATGCCACCTCACTCTCTTCACTGGTGTTTAATACCCTATTTTGCCTGGGGATTTTCTCTCTTTACTGCTGCTCTGAGACCATCTCAGGAGAGGAGCCGCATTGAACTTGAAGCCGAGAAAACTGTAGTGCACGCTCCAAAGGCGCGTAATCAAGCATAGTGGAGCTGATGTTCAAAGGGAGGCGCCACCTAGTTCCCAGAATGAAGCCCAAACGCTGTGCTATTGCGGAATTTCCTCTCTCTCCTTCTCTCCCGGGGTCACAGGGGACATCGTCTTTTCATGCGAGGAACGCTGTCGACTGTATAATGTATTCATCCCCCACAACGTTGAAAAACAGAGCCCTCCGTTTCCATATAAAACCCTTCTCGTCCTAACCTCTTTCAGACGCCTCCTTCCTCTATTCCTTCCTTCTATCGCCAACCATCCCTTCAAAGCTCAAAAGCTCCCCACCTTCCTCAGCCCTTTATCGTCAATCATCTTTACTTCTCGTTTAATTTACTGTTTCATACATTCTCCGTATTCCCTCAAAAGAAGGGCCTCCTTGACCCAAAATCCAATTCCCGCATTAACTTTTTTTTAAGCAGGCTCTCTTGGTTTTCGCGTATTTGATTGTCTCTCTCTCTCTCTCTGAGATTGCGTCGCGACTTTACCTGCAACATGGTCCAGTATCACCGCTACCTTGCGCCGAAGAAGGGTGGTGATTTCCCAAAAGATGGCATCTTTGAGTCCCACGGTCTTAACTTGGATTTCTCCACCTCTTCTTACTGCAAGAGAATCAGGCCCAACTCCTTCCCTTTCTTGTTTCTCGCTCTTCTCTGTTGCTGCTTTGTGCTGGCTCCTCTTTTCTTTGGCTCTTGTTTCACTTTCTCTCTCCTCTGTAAGTTTCTTCTGGTCGTCCTATGCTCTCGTGCCATTTTTATTTTCCCGTTTTTTCATCTCTGTTGATCTTGTTTTCTTATTTTCAGATTCCCCTGAAGCTGAAAATGATAGCTCCTCCATGCGGTTGTCTGCAAATGCTTCTTCGTGCTCTTCAGTTTCAAATGGTGATCATTCTCATTCCCTTTCCTTCTTGCCACTTAGTTTTTGCCTCTGTAATATTATCTGTTAGCCGGTGAATTTGTATGAAATCCATTTTTGATGGTCCGTCATCTTGTACGAGCATAATGAAACCTGGTCGGCCAAATTATGCTAAGAAAATGGTGATATGTCTTGAATACCAGAAACTTCCGAGTTCGACACTTTATGTTGTATTCCATACCATCTTACTTTGTTCTTTTCCATGATCATAGTCCGAGTCACCTAGCTGAATTGCTCACAGAGCATTTTATTTTCTCAGGAGGAATCATATATTGTGATAGAAGCGGTTATCGTTCTGATATCTGTATAATGAGAGGAGATATAAGAACACACTCTGCTTCCTCGTCGGTATTCCTTTTCAACTCAAGAAGGGAGAATTTTGAAGGCAGCAAAGATGAAGCTCAGGAATCCCAACACGAAAGGATCAAGCCGTACACTCGAAAATGGGAAACGAGCATCATGAATCTCATCGATGAATTGCGCCTAACATCGAGGACAGAAAATTTGGGAACGGATCATGGTTGTGATGTTCAGCATGATGTTCCAGCAGTGTTCTTCTCCAATGGGGGATATACAGGCAACGTCTATCACGAGTTCAACGATGGAATCATACCTTTGTACATTACTTCCCAGCATTTGAACAAAAAGGTTGTGTTTGTGGTTCTTCAATACCATAATTGGTGGATGTTGAAGTACAAAGATATTCTTTCTCAATTATCAGATTTCCCAGTCATCGATTTCAACAGGGACAACCGGACCCACTGCTTCCCAGAAGCCATTGTTGGTCTAGGAATCCATGATGAGTTGACTGTGAACCCTGTATTGATGGAAGGTAACAAGAGTATTGTTGATTTTAGAAACCTCCTGGATCGCTCCTACTGGCCTCGAATCAAAAGCTTGATTCAAGAAGAGGAAAGGGAAGCTCAGGCCAAGGTTAGAGAAAGAGTGCAAGAAGAAAATCAATGGGAGAAACCCAAATTGGTTGTTATCTCAAGAACTGGGTCAAGAGCAATAACTAACGAGAATTTGATGGTGAAAATGGCAGAGGAAATTGGGTTCCGAGTGAAAGTTCTAGGGCCTGATAAAACAACCGAACTGGCAAAGATTTACAAGGCATTGAATGAGAGTGATGTGATGATTGGTGTTCATGGGGCTGCTATGACTCATTTTCTGTTCTTGAGACCTGGTTCTGTGTTTATTCAAGTGGTTCCTTTGGGTACCACATGGGCATCAGAAACTTATTATGGAGAGCCTGCTAGGAAATTAGGATTGAAGTACATAGGCTATGAAATTCATCCCAAAGAGAGCTCTTTGTATCAGAGATACCAGGAGAACGATCCTGTTCTGACAAACCCAAGAAGCATTACAAAGAAAGGGTGGGAATACACAAAGAAGATCTATCTAGACCACCAAAATGTCACATTAGATCTCACAAGATTCCAGAAAAGGCTGCATCGTGCGTATGACTACACTGTGTCAAGATTAAATCTGCATAGTCGACATTAAATTTCATCCTTCGTGTTCATTCTTTGATCTTCACAATTCACATTTCAAAGTCTTGTATTCTTGTGCATAGGGAAACACAGAGTTTCCTTCTGTTGTAAATGTGCGTACAGTGGAAATCCAAACATTTAATAATAAATAAAATAACAATATGATCTGGAACAGCATCTCCATCTTTCCTTTTCAGTGGTGAAAAACAGTTTGTACAACTCTGAACTCTTCAAATTCAGTGCATCCATTACAAGTTAGGGGGTATAAATACCTCTCGAGTGCGACCCAGAATTTCAAAGCCATGTCTTTTTGACTGGCCAATAGCATTTGGTTTCCGGGAAGAGACTAATTGTTTGACTGTGTTTTCTGTTTTGCCAGAATCAATGGGTGTGCAAAAGTACTGTTAAAAGTTACACTTAAAACTTGACTCATCCTTGAGCCATGTGAAATTAAAGCAGTGTGTTTCCAGATTTCTGAAAATTGATGGCCTGCTGGTGTTAGCTCGAGAGGTAACGTCGTGATCATATCAAGAAATACGTATATCTTTAAAAAAAAAAAAAAATTGGGGTCCATAGGCCACGTGAGTTAGGACAGCAGTATTAGGGGAGAGATGTATTATTTTGTTAGAGAATGGCGAGTTCTGTGTTAGGCAGATCTCATGAATGGGGACCATTTTCCAGGTGATGTGTTTCCCTGATGCAATAAAATTGATTCATAACTTTGAATAAGTTAAAATTTTTCTCTGTATGAAAATAATCAATTTGTCCCTTTTTCTAGATTTTCACTCGTGCAAGAGAAGTCTTCCCATCACATTCGCTAATTGAACTCGCCTTTGCGTGCGTCATTTGTCCATCAAAATACTAATGCAAGTTTCTTGAAAAGACTCTTAATTTGGAAGTTCTTCTTGTGGCTCTGCCTCAAACACTTGCCATTGTTTTAACATTGCAGGCATTTTGCTGTATACTACCTCCGGTCCTTATTATAAGACCCCGTTTGACTTTTTGTTTGGTCCTAATTATAAGACCCCAATCCATTTTGTCTCTCATATTTATGCATTTTTTTCAAGATAATCCTTCTAATAATGATAGTTCTAGCCAATATACTTAATTAGCAAGGATATTTTAGAAATGACAACACTTATTTATTACAAATAACTAACTTAACTTACTTTCTTAATCTTCTCAAATAAGTCAACTGGGTCTTATAATTAGGACCGGAGGTAGTATGTTTCAAGAGTTAGCTTATAAAAAATTCAATGGCGGCTTCTCTCACATGCAATTGCCAAACTTGTTATTAGGAAAGACAGCCTTGTTGGAGAGAATAAAGATATTTTATAATCCGAGGAGGCTACGCAAGTTTTGTTTGGAGATGGAATAAGGTAAGATAATGACGACATTACACAGAATAGTGATTTCTGGGCCTACCTATAGGGCCAAGAAAAGCCTACTTGTCGTTAGACGGAGGCCCAAAATAAAAATTGGTGCATCCGCCACTATATGGTTCGGACCGTCCAAGTACGACCTGCGTTCGTCTGGCCATTTCATTGATATGATCCGACGGTGTTTGTTTACTTAGCGAGGAACCATTAATAATAGACTAAAGTATATATTTAGTCCTTTTAACTTTATACAAGATTTTACTTTAATCTCTTAACTTTAAAAAGTAAATTTTCAGTCTCATAACCCTAAAATTGTTAACAAAAAATGATAATATTGAGTTCTTGAATGTTAATAAAATATTACTAGATGCCAACGTATTAAGTTTAATATTCAAAACAACTATGATTGTTACAAAAAATATCATTTAAGACTAATAATTTTAGGATTAAAGAACCAAAAGTATATTTTTTAAAGTTAAGGGGCCAGGGTGAAACCTTATATAAAGTTAAATGATCAAATATATATTTTAGTCTTATTTGTCCTGTTTGTTATCATAAACATATTTTTCCCCTTAATATAAGAATTATTTAATTAATTTAAATAGAATAAAAATGTCAAATAAATTAGCTAATTATAACATGTGACGAAATCTCCATAAAATACCTCTGTATAATCTTGGAGTATATATTAATTTTTTTTTTGGGTATAAACCATCCGGTATCCAACCGCGCCTTTTCTGGGCCCCAGTCTCTTTGGGCCAGTTGTACCCGAGCGATCGACTAGTCCGGATTCGGGCCGGGCGGCAAGTAAAGCTCTCCCCGGTATCCCTTTTAACAAGTGAGGATTCGAACCCCCGCCCTCAAAGAGTAAAGACTCGCCTCACTTGTGACCTAGCCAGTTACCACTAGGCCAGGAGTATTCGGGTGGAGTATATATTAATTTATTAGTTAAGTAAATCAGTCTAAAAAAAAAAGATAAAAGGTATAATGGATTAAAATCCTATTTTTAAAACAAAATTCAATCTCAAATTAACTCGTACATTTAGGACTGTATAAGTAGTTAATAGTTACTTGCATGCATACATAAGCCAGTGCTTTTTGTTAACAATTTCATTCATTATATTGCTAACAAAAATCATTGACTTGATACCTAATCCTAAGACATCCCAACAAATAATCTTTCTGTAACAGACCTACTTTTTTATCTGTATCTTTTTATCTTTTAATGATAATAAAAAATCCTGACAAATATTGGTATTATTATTAAGGGACTAAAATGAAACCTTGTATAAAATTAAAGGACCAAATGCATACTTTAGCCCGACAAACAATAACTAATTCATGTTAATGTAAGTGAGAGGTTGCCTAAGCCAAGTGGTTAATTAACGTAGTTGAGAGGAGTTTGTTAGGCTCACAAGTTATTATCGCGTCCTTGTAATAAACACATGCCTTTGTTATGATCAATAATAAACCAGGACTCCCAAGTCTCCTGTGCACATGGAATCTTACTTCAAAGATATTTCTTCCGTGAACAGCATGCTATTAATTCCCAAAATATATGAACTTCTGCCCATACATATAAAGCCTATATATCCAATTCCCTATTTGTAATGTGTGATTTTTCAAAAGACTAGCAACTACTTGTTCATTCCTCCTTTTCCAAGAACATATTCTAAATAAACACTCCACGTTTCTCCAGAAGTCTTCTCGGTGATAGAATGCCTTTTATTTAAGTCCTTCGTGAACTTGTGGTCAAACAGCAACTTACTAAAATCCGAGATTTGTATTAATGTCGCATGAATTTAAAGGCAATGGTTGAAACTGTTTTAAAATATATTCGACCATTATAGGAATCTAGTAGGAATTAAGAAAAAGCGACGAGAATGTAGGAATGTGAGGTTTTCGAAAATAAAGGGGATTTGCTAGTTGCAACCAAACACTGGATTGGCGAAACAGAACATTCCTAAAGAGGCAGACGGCCAGTCCCTCAAGTAAAATAGAATTCCATATTAGGATTCACGACCCACATATAGTATTCCATCTGTCACCTTTCCCTCTAAATTCCTAATTTTGCTTCCTTTTTTTCTTCTCTGGCCTTTTCTTCATGCACAAGAAGTAATCCCACTCCCATTTCCACATTACGCAACAATCATACTTTTGTTCGTGTTCTGCGCCTCTGCGTCTTTATATATAGAAAAAGGATTCAAAGGTGGCTTGAGTCTCTCTCTCTCTACACCATCTCATTGGCGGTGGCGGCGGGACGGCGGCCGTGGTGGTCGGAGGCAAGTTTCAGGGAAAATGGGGAGAGGGAAAATTGAAATTAAGAAGATAGAGAATTTGAATAATAGGCAGGTCACCTTCTCCAAGCGACGTAATGGATTGCTCAAGAAGGCCAAGGAGTTGTCCGTTCTGTGTGATGCAGAGGTTGCTGTCATCATTTTCTCCAGCACCGGCAAGCTTTATGAGTTTTCCAACACAAGGTACTTTGCCTTTTATCTCCAGAGCACGAGGTTTCTTTGGAAATTTGAATTTGAATAGAACTTTTGGGGTTTGTGATTTTGTTCTTTTGTTTTACATGTTCATTTTTCTGTTTACTTGAGGTGCGTTCTCTTGCACACTACCATATTGGAATCAGAATCCTTTTATTGGAGAAACTGAATACTAAAGAACTATCCTGGAAAATTCCAGGCATGTAAAGAACTGGTTTCAATCATTTGTGCTTTTCATCAAAGAATGTCCAAACCCCATTTCTTTTAAGTACTGTTCAATTGGTGAAGAGGAGACACCTACTGATATGTTAGAATCAGAATCCTTTTATGTGGGATTATTTGGCATGCAAAAGATATTATTGAAAGCAAACGTGGGTATGTCTTTTGGGTTTCACTTCAGTATACAGATTTCTGCTGCATTGCTTTCCAAAATAGCCATTAAATAATTTGTTGTTCCCAGTACTGCAAAGCTCAGGTTCTTTTATTCTATCTTTTTGGGCACTCCTGCCCATGCTTTTGTAGCTTGACATTCTCTACTGAAAAAAAGTGGTTCTTTATTCTTTATTCTTATGATCATCAAAAAGTTTATTTCATTCATGAAGCATGGAGCACACCCTTTCAAGGTACACTAAAGGAGTGGAATTGGATTTTACAGAGCAACCTTGTGAGGTGCCACCGGCTGAGGTATGTATGACTTTCACACACCCACTTCCCTTCTAGAAAGCTTCACTCTTCATCATTAAATTAAATAACTCTTAATAATAATAATTTGTAACAGTATTTTGATTCCCTCTTTGCTATCTTTTTCTTGGCTAATTTATTCCTAAAGTGCTATTTATTTTTATTTAGTCCTTACCTTTTCACTCTGAGCAGGAGACAGAGTCTGATGCAGACCTTCTAAGGGATGAAATAAGAAAGCTTCGTTTAGCATACTTGTAAGTTATTCTGACTTTTGAGCCTGTTGCCTGTTATGCATACACGGACACACACACATCTCAAGGCAAAGAACAATTTAAAATTAAAAATTGGCTCAGATTTTCTTAGTGATATTAATTTCCAAATTTTGCAGAAGAATGATGGGGAAGGAGCTTGATGGATTGAAATTTAAAGAGCTGCAGAAGTTGGAAAATCAACTGAGTGAAGGGATACTATCTGTTAAAGAAAAGAAGGTACAAATGACAAAAACTCAATAGCACTCAAAATTATCTTTGCTTATTTTAAGTGTTTATGAACTGATTCAGTTAATGTCATCAAATGTTATACAATATTCTCATGTTCTTTTCAATATTGGTTAAAAAAAAAAGCAAAGTCAGCATCGGTTTCTCTGAACAAGGCTCGTTCTTGAATGTGCTATCAAAAGCCTAAGCCACTTGTTATGTAAAAAACTATTGCAGGAACAATTACTTCTAGATCAACTAGGGAGGTCAAGATTACAGGTACTTGACTAGCATTATCATTCTTTTTTCAATCTCATTTTACTAGTTTTAAGAGAAATTCAGGAATTTACAGAATTTGCTGGTCCAGATTTGATACATTTTTTTTCCATTTTTTTAAAAAAAAATGCTATGCAGGAGCAACAAGCCATGCTGGAGAATGAAGCCCTGCGCAAACAAGTGAGAATTTGAGGATATATGTGTGTTTTCTTATTAACTTGCTACGCCCCAATCATCTGATATTTATTACATATGTTAGATTGAGGAGATGCAGAATAAATCAAACACAACACACTTTGTTTATTTCAATACCTTAGACAGCAGGTTCTGCATCAACGATGGTTCCAACCCCATTTTCCATTGTGCCTCCCATGAAAGAGAAGACCTTTCTGACACTTCATTGCAGTTAGGGTATGCTCTCTCTTCCGAAATTCTCACATATATATGTATATATATTAGTATAATCGAAGTTGAGTTTGGATAATGCTTAGAAGCAGCAATATGATAAGACCACATAAACCTAAGGGAAAAACCAGATTTAAGAGACATAAGTGACGGTTAACGAATTCATAGTTGTGGGGTGTCGTATAGGTTGTCAACAGAATTTGGTCGGAAGAGGAAAGCACCGAAAGTAGAAGCCGGCAACGACTCAGCCGCCAGTCAACTGGCCTCTGCATCCCAAAACATTCCCTAGTTCTTTCTCTTCCTTTTATTTTATTTTCTTCTTTTCAGTATTTTGTATCATAGTCATCTATAGATTAGCTTACAGTAAAAAGGTCGTTATAAGCTAAAGCAAGCCTCTTAATATTTTACAGCCTCTTTATATTTTACCTACATGATTACATGTTGACCATCGATTTCATTTTGCAAAGCTAAAATTCCAGTCATGCGCTATTTTCTGAAGAGTAAGATGCATCTTTTATTTTATTAAAATTATACACATCTCTCTTTTTTTAATATAGGTTAAAATATATTTTTAGTTCTTTAACTTTACACACGCTTTCATTTTAGTTCCTTAATTTTTAAAAAGTAAACTTTTAGTCATTTAACCCTAAAACTGTTAACAAAAAATAATAATATTGAGCTCTTGAATGCTGATAAAATATTACTAAGTGCTAACATATTAAGTTTAATGTTTAAAATAACCATAATTGATACAAAAAATCATCATTCAAGATTAACAATTTTAAGGTTAAAAAACTAAAAGTATACTTTTTAAAGTTAAGGGACTAAACTGAAATCTTATATAGAGTTAAAAGACCAAATGTATACTTTAGCCTTTAATATATGAATGTATACGTGTAACAAAAATTACCTGGCATTTTAGTATAATTATTTTTTTATCGAACTATATATCTTTTTTTGAAAAAATAAATACGTCGTTTTCCAGATAAAAAATTCAGTGTTCTGTGTAACTTAAGCAAAATTTAAGAAGATTTTTTTTGACTTGCTAATCTATTTGAAATACTAGGCTGTCCTATTATATTTTTCAATGCATTGGATTCATTATTATTATAACTACTATTATTGGGAGGTCAATTTGGATTGCTTTATTAATTTGCTCAGATTCAAGGCGGTGTGATTGGGACAGATGTACGTAATCAGCCACAGACCATTTCATTAAAATAAATAGTTGAACCGATCAGCGCCACGACTTTACTAATTGGTCAGTTATTTCCCGGTTGGCAAAAGAAAAAGGTTAGTTGAAATATGTTCTGGGAAATTCTAATTTATCATCAAAATACCACAAATGAATCAAACCCAGAAAACTGGACTTTGTGTGATTTCGTTTGAACCCATCATTATATTCCTCCCTCTTGTTTGCATTTTTAGCATTACTTACCCAAAACAAAGAGAAAACTTCGCTTTTGTTTAAGAGAATGAAGACAACTGAACTATTGAATCGTATCAAACAAAGTCACTCTGTTTTGAATAATCTTTAAATAAAAAAATAATTATAAATTTTCTCATGATCTTCTCTTTGTAACTGTACAATGTATATCCACGAGACGTGATCATAGAATAGCAGAAAGGCGAGTCTTCCAAAAAAGACAAGTTCCACAAAAGCACGGCACACAGGGAGGGTGGTGGTTCCTACGTGATTGATTGGTTCCTTCCATGTAGCCTCTTTCTTCTTCTGAACTTCTCCTTTCTTTTTCTAATCGAAAATCAGATCGTTCTGCAATTTTTTTTTTTTTAAAAAAAGGGATCAGCAACGAAGTAGACGGTGATGCAAATAATAACAGAGCCAATGAAATGCAGAGGGTGAGGTAAGCTAGACTTGTTAGTTGAAGAACGCAACAGACAAGCCTGCTGGGTTTGGAACCGTCCAGGACAGGCAAATTAATACAGAGTACATTTGATTCGTCTTTAATGCACGTTGACGACCATTAATTATTTTAGGCCAACAAATGAATTCTAATTAGATACTATAATCGTCTTATAAATAACAATAATCTCACGGCTCGGCATAACGCATGGAAGCCCCCGCAGTTAAATATGCAGGCTACCTCTTAACCAAAGTAAATTCCTGCTCAGTTGGTGATGTTAGCATCTTTTCTATGGATATAATAATAGCGGAAAGAATCCTAGGGACACACAGGAGGGACGGTTTAAGATGAGAATTAAAAAGAGGAATGAAGGGAGAGGGACAGAAAATGATGAGAGGAAGTGGGCTTTATTGCAAAGCTGGTCGTAGAAACAGCATAATCAACATCCTCAGACCATGCCCCTACCCTTTCTTTCTAGCCTGCCTCCCCGCACGCGCCTTCCTCCCTTTTGTTTTCCCTCTGTTTTCTAATATCTCTCTTCCCATAGCATCCAACCATGAACCATCCCTCTCCCACATACTTTCCACGTTCCATATAATATAAAGGGCCTTTTGTGATACGCACGCTTGCATTCTCAAGTTCCATGAAGTGCCTTGTTTCGCAGCATACCATGCAGTTTCAACTTTCTTTCTTTCTCTCTCTCTCTTCTCTGCGTGGGTCACTCTCCGTAACCATCATATCATCCCCTTTAGTCTTCATCCAACGGTCACCATGAAACCCCTTTTTCACAACTTACTTACGTAGTATTTAATTAATACAACGTCAAAACCAGCTCACTCACAGCTTACATACACGTCCTTCAGGGTCTTTCTCAATCTCAATATATATTCTTCGGCTTCTTTAAACTATTGTGCCCATCTCCTCTCAGCTCATTAGAGCCTTTCGTTTACCGAGTTTAATGCGAGGGTACGAATATTTTAGATTGGATTGAGATCGAGCACACATGGAATCCCGACACAAGATTTCTCCCCGAGTGATGCAGAAACAGTCTAAATTATTGAGAGAAGATACGTGTTTGCTAGGTGTTTGGTGAAATTACTCTGTGAATGAATATTCTATGGACCAGGCTAGCTGGAAAGATGAGGCCGTCGCTCGTCATTCGTCAATGGGGTTGGTGAATGCAACAATAACAACAATATTAGGCACATCCTAGTTGGCGCTTGCTTAAGTTCCTTAAATATCTAATTATGCATTCTATTCCTACAGTTATGAACAACATCGACAATGCAAGAATTGATTAGTCATTGCTACTTCCAACTGAACCGGGAAAAAAAGAAAAGAAAAGAAAAGAAAACGGTATTACAGATGCCCTATTGCCTTGTTTTTTGGGTAGGCCCGGGTTAGTGTGAAGTGTTGACACAAAATTCTCCCAAGGCTCGTCAGGCTCACCATGTACAAGACAAAAGTCTCACGAACTATCATCATGAGATGCACAAGCCTCCATAGCTTTCCTTTATATTCCTCACTCCCCCAACACTATCATCACCTTGTCGGCTCCTTTATCACTCTCCCTCTCTCTCTATTCATGTGCCAGCCTTGAGTCATACCCTCTCTGTATCAATCCCACGTCTCTGTTTCACTCCTTTCATCTCTCTCTCCCCCCTCCGCCATGAAACAGCAAGACTATACCCTCCAGAGAAGCACCAGCACCACCGCCCTCACCACCAGATCCGGCAGCAGAAGAATCACTCCTTCTAATCATCATCACAACGCTCTTCGTCCCTCAGACCCCGACGACTTCTCCGTCTCCGACAACCTCCTCATACGCAGAGGCTCTTCTCCTTCTGTCTCCTTTCACCACAACTCCACCAGGTCCCAGACCAAGCTCTCCTCTCTCCTTCGCTCATTCCTCAACATCTTCTCCTTTCCCACCATTCTTCCCACCTGTAAATGGCTCACCGTTCCTTCCCACCTCTCCATAGCACCTTCCCTTGGTCGCAAAGTCACCGGGACTCTCTTCGGCCATCGACGCGGTCACGTCTCCTTCGCCGTCCAGCTTGACCCCCGTTCGGAGCCTCTTTTAGTGCTTGAGCTGGCCATGTCCACTTCTTCTTTGGTCAAGGAGATGTCCTCCGGTCTGGTTCGGATCGCGCTGGAGTGCGAGAAGCTTCCGGCCGCGGCGCAGACCGGAGGCCGGACCAGGAAGCTGTTCCAGGAGCCGAATTGGGTCATGTACTGTAACGGGAGGAAGTGCGGGTACGCGGTGTCGCGCACGTGCGGGGATCCCGATTGGCACGTGCTGAGCACGGTGCAGAGCGTGTCCGTCGGAGCCGGAGTGATTCCGGTGGTGGAGGACGAAAGCGCGAGGAAAGGCAGCGGCGGGTCAGATGGCGAGTTGCTGTATATGAGAGCGAGGTTTGAACGAGTCGTGGGAAGTCGTGACTCGGAGGCATTTTATATGTTGAATCCCGATGGTAATGGAGGGCCTGAACTTAGCATTTTTCTGTTGAGAATATGAAAGAAAAGCTTGTTCGAGACAGATTAAGATAAATAATTATAATGTTTAGGATTGCCAGTTTGGTGTTTTCTTCCTTCTTTTGGTTTTTTTTTTTTTTCCCTTTTCCCTTTTCCCTTTGGTCTTGGTACAAAATCATGAGAGACGATATATGTATACATATGTGATTTATTTATCAGATATTGATAGTCTGATACTTTTAATTGATAGTATTTAGGAGTGCGTAAATCCTGATATTCTTAATTATATGGGTGGAGGGGTATTTTTCTTCCCCTCTATGACTGTAATCAAAATTTGTTGTATCTGGCAAAAAAAAAAAAAAGGAGTTGTAATATTAGAGAAGCTTTAAGTAATTGGCCAACACATAACCAGAAGCTGTAAATAATTGCGAGTTCAATTGTGTGCGTGTGCAATGTATACGTGCAGTCGTGCACGCAGCACAGGGAATTCTTAATTATAATTATAATTAGAAGCTGAGAGACGGGAAAATAAATATTGCGAGGGAAGGGATCATTGGCATGGGTGACGTGATAATTATTATTATTATGTCTGATTTTTAATATAAGATATAATTAACTAATTTGAAGAAATTAAAAAAATTAGTTAAGTTAATTATTTGTTATAAATATGTGTTGTTTTTCCTAGAATACCTTTGTTAATCATGTATATTGGTTAAAATTATTATTTGATAAAACTTTTAACATATATAACTACTACAACGACTATTTTAAAAAAAATAAATAAATATAAAAGATAAAGTGGATTAAGATTTTATATTTAGGACAAAATTAAAAGTCAAACAAATTTTTATAATAAAAAACAAAGATAGTATCAATTAAAGGAACTACATGCTCAATATTTGCGGATTGACAAAGTATTATTTGTCTCTTTTTATATTAATTACTTTTAATTAATTTACGCAAATTAGTAAAATTAATTAACTTAGTTCATGCCCTCTTCAAATTATAAGACAGTCTTATTAATCTCTACTATTTACTCAATAATATTCAATTATTCTTATAAAGAAATAGTATTCAGTTACCTGTGTTGTGGACATTTTTGGTTTAAAAAAAAAACTAATTGCTTCGCGTATTCTTGGGGGGGAAAAAAAAATCAGCTTCCGAGAAGAAGAAGCTTAACATTTCTTTTTTCACTCAGAAAGCTTTAAACATGACTTACGAATGTGTAGGGCGTAGACATTAATTTTTTTTATGTTAGTTAAAATTATTACACTTGTATTTCTTTTGCACAAAAAGAGAAAGCCTAATGGCTGTTTTTCACTAGCAATGATAACTTAACAAGTATATCTATTTTATTATAGATATTTACATACATTATTAATCATCAATACTACCTCTTATTTTTTAATATAAGACTCGACTGACTAATTTTAAGAGATTAAGAAAGTTAAAAAACAACTTATGTATATCATTAATTATACATCAATTTATAAACAAATTAGTTTGAAGAAAAACGATAAATATAAATATTTTAAAGTAATTTTTTAGTTTTCTCAATCTCTTTAAATTTGTTAACCAAATCTTATATAAAGGATCGAAGGTAGTATTACGACTATATAATATGATTGTATTTCAAGTCACAATATTTATGACTCCAAAATAGTTTCCTCTTTTAATACAACAAGTATCACCAATCGTTTAGGTTCATAATTAAAAGACAAGTATATAGATTCTTGATGTTAATGCAGTTAACCTATTTAGGGAACAATCATACTTTATCTGAATGGAAAAAAAGAAGAAGAAATGAGTTGGCTTTTAAAAGCTCATTAAGATCATGACATGTCTTTGAGTTTTAAAAATACTTATAAAGACACTTATAGTCACTCGCCTCTTCACATTAACAATGAAATTTAAACTAATGATTTTATGTGTGATGATTTACTTTTAATGAAATGGACCAACTCTAACAATGACAGTTATATATATGTGTGTGGGTTAAAAGAGAACAGTTATATTTGTTAAGCAATGGCTTTATCCGGAGGAAGAAGCAGCGAAATGGAGGAGTGGAGAATGGAAAGCACCGGTGAATGTTGAGGAAAGTGTAAACACATAGTAATGCGATGGAGGACCCGAATTCCCATCGCATGGGCAAACTGATCACCTTCGTGGGATACACCATAATACATCTTCTTCCCCACTATTCATCCCACGACCCTATCTTTCCCTCCCATTGTCCCTACTCGTTTTCTTCACGGGCCATTTCTGTTACTCCTCTGCCTCTACTTGAGAAAGTTTTTTCACAAATCACACCCATAGTTCACACTGTTAAATCTGTTCTAAGCACAGAGTACATGGTTTCGATAAAATATATCAGGAATACCTTATAAATAGAATCAAAAGAATCTTATTAAAATAAAGTTACCAGCTCGCTCAATCATATGTGAATGCAGAAAACGCTGTTGGTCGAGCTCCTCACTCAATTGAATTTAACAATTTTTAAATAAAACCCAACAACATTAGATATAAGATAATCATACATATACTCATGCATTAAAAAGAAAATGCCAAAGGGATCTATCCGTCAAATATTTTATATGCTGCCCAGGCTTGATATTTTCTCAAGCGACACGGAGCCTCGGACCAAATGGCCTTTCCTCCTTCGTTTCACCATAAAGCTTGAATTTAGGCCTGAGTACTCTTGTCGGCCTCAACCAGGAGTTTGTCATGGCCCATATTTTGTGGCCCACATTCCGACAAACAGTCAGTCCCCAAGGTCCAATGTCGACTTCCTCTCATTGGGTAGTGTTTGGTTGGGGCTTTTTTTTCCGAAGGGGAGGAGAAGCGAGGGAAAGAAAACACAAGGCAAATATAATTTATCACATGATGACTAAATTACCCGTACCATTTCTTGATCTCCCAATTTTACCCTTCCTACTTCGCGCGTTGTTCTCTTCCTCCTGTCATCGTTGCCGCCACTCCTCCTCCAGTAGCAGCGGCCGCCGCCAACTGAACTGTCGCTGTCGATCGTCGCTCCCGCCATCGTCCGTGTGTGCCTCCTCTAGTCGTCCTCGAGACTTCGACCCGGGTGAGCTCCGTCGTCTTCCACGAATCACTTAATGATGAAACTTACCGTGCCGGCTATTTTCTTCATTAGGCATAAAAAAAGTATTGTTTTTATCAGGATAAAATAGCATATAAAATGTCTCAGCATTGAGCTGCTGCCCGCCAACACCTCCACTCTGATTCAAGCGAAATGTAGTTGTTAATTATAAATTAGTTGTGTTCATATGTCATACTTCTATTTTTACTACTCAAACCCTAAATCCCTGTAAGTGATGTATTTTTCCTGTCTGAGAACAGATTAAACAGTCCCAGCTAGCGTGCTTGTGATTTGTGGATGAGAGAGTTGTGAAAAAGAATGGGCGGGTTGAAGGGACTTTTAAAGAAAGGGTTAGGGGAGATGGGCTTCATGGCCGACGGCGGAGTTATCAACTGGTTCCCGGGACACATGGCAGCCGCCACTCATGCTATTCGCCAGCGCCTTAAGGTTGCTGACTTCGTCATCGAAGTTCGAGACGCGCGCATTCCTCTGTCCTCTGCTCATGCCGATCTTCAACCTCAGCTCTCGGGGAAGCGCCGTGTCATTGCACTTAATAAAAAGGACTTGGCCAACCCTAATATCATGCATGTATAACCCTCGTTTTCACCGAACTTTATTTTCAGTTCAACTTTCAATTAGTGTCCTCTCCAGGTAAGGTTAGGCTTAAAAGCCGTTACATGTTCCTTGGATGTTGTCGCGCGGCTACTCGCCGCACGACTTTAGCGTCATATATCTTTCTATGTTGCATCAGTATTTCCTTTCTGGGATGTATAAATAGTAAACTTTGATGGTTTCAATTATCTTTTCGGGAGTAATACGATGTTTCTCAACATTCCAAGGCATCATCGACGTGAAGATTGATCATATTTCCAAGCAGAATAGTGAGGAAAAATTTGGTTTTTGGCATTGGAGTGCAACTCCTTTTTTTTTTTGAACTGAAGAATGCAATTCTTATTACGCTTCTTAGCTTGAATAGAAGCTTGCTTTGTGTGACTACGTGATAAAACTTTTTGCTTGCTTGATGCCAATTTTATGCCTTGCCAAAATGTCCTGCTCCTTACTCGATGTATCAGTTCGGGAAAATTTTAGTGACCTTTCATCAGTATCGTTTTCAGGAAATGTATTTTTTTACCATAAAGCGGTTCACCCTCCATTTATGAGTCACGTTGCCATTTGGTTTTGTTGCTGTAGAAATGGATCCACTATTTTGACTCGTGCAAGCAAGATTGTGTTCCTATAAGTGCCCATAGCAAGAGCTCTGTTAAGAAGGTGAGTTGGCATAATTGTTCTGATCATTACATTTCTACCGCTGCCTACTGCCCTGTGGATTTCTATCTTTTGAAGGGCGAAAATACTTCTACCGTAATGTGCTCCTTCGTTTTTTTTGATAATTTTCTACTGTAATGTTCTTTAATCCATATAATTATGGGATATGTGATTTTATGTTGACATTGTTCCTGCTGAGCCAAGCCTATCAATTGCGTGATAATGAGTGCATAATTTGAAATGCCGGCCTTTCAAGTGTTACCTTTCCCGCTATACATCCAAAAAAAAAAAAAGAAAAAGAAAGTCCAATGAGCATGTTCTAAAACACGATTCTGAACAAGTTAGGTCATTTTCATAAAGTTAATATATTTGTACTAATTTATCCCCTGCTCTGATCTTTCTTGTCCGTGCATTGAAGCTTCTTGATCTTGTCGAGTTCAAATTGAAGGAAGTGATTTCCAGGGAACCTACTCTCCTAGTGATGGTGGTTGGTGTTCCAAATGTTGGGAAGTCAGCTTTGATTAATTCAATTCATCAAATTGCACTGTCTCGCTTTCCAGGTAAAAATTTTGCACGGCAATTGAAAGCTTCAATTTTAACGAACGTCAAGCTGTCAGATTTTTTGTTGTTACTTTTTTGTTCGTAGTTTGGTTAATGGAATGTGCATGGGTGATGTTTTAGTTTGCTTTCATAGTGCAGGAGAAGATGAAGAGAGCTACTGTGGGTCCTCTGCCTGGTGTTACTCAAGATATTGCGGGATACAAGGTCCAGTGATCTGAATGCCATAATTTCTTCCTTTCTTCTTGATTTCCCCATTAATATACTGGCGTTTTGAATTGTTCCGCCATTTGATAAACATGAATTTGTCTAGAACCTGAGAAGTGCTGGCCTTGCATTCCTGTTGGTGGTATGCATTAGATCCTTGTATTTGCCGTGTCCTTTTGGATTTGCTGTAGTTCATCACATCATGTATTAGTATTATTATATTAGTTTTTCTTGTCTCCGTTTCCGTTGCCACAATTTTGAAAAGTCATAATATTGAACCGGTAGAATCTTGACTAGAAGATTATGAGTGAGAGGCAAAGGGGAAATGAGAACTGCTTTGCTTTTGCTAGCTTTGTCAATTCTCTTTTCGATATAATAGTACATTGGCTTTCTCCATCCCTTTCCATCTTTTTGCTTGTTGTTGGTTCTTTTTTTTATTTAAACATCACTTGTGTGTTTGTGCATGCGCATATGTTGGGTTAATGATGCGTATGGACATGTGGTTATACTCTGACCCTGACTTGATGTCCAGATAGCACACCACCCGAGCATATATGTCTTAGACACTCCTGGGGTGCTGGTTCCAAGTATCCCAGACATAGAAACAGGGTTAAAGCTGGCTCTTGCAGGTAGTGTATCCATTAAAATGATCGATCTTAGATTCCTTTCTTAATTTTGTTTTGTAATTTGACGACAAGTTATCTATATGCTAGCAGGATCTGTGAAAGATTCAGTAGTGGGTGAGGAGCGTATTGCTCAGTACTTACTGGCAGTTTTGAATACCCGAGGGACTCCAATTCACTGGAAGCACTTGAATAATAGGAGAATGGAAGGGATTCGATATGAATCTGAGGAAAAGCATGAATACAATTTGAAAAGCCTTAAACGAAAGAGAACAAGTCCACCAAATAAATCTGAAGTGGTTTATATCGAGGTACCATGCCACCTTTTTTTTTTTTTTTGTTGAATTTCTCTTGTGGGTAAATGGAATATTCATGTGCACCTTATTTGATTTACTCCAAGCTCCGTCACGCTGCTTTTGAGTGGGATGGATGTTCATTGGTAGCATATGTTTTTTATAGTCATATTGTCTCATCTTTTCTTGTTTTGTGTTGGGAATGTGTCCAAAGTTATTACAATGCCACTTGCATAAAATACTTTCAAATATACAAAATTCTCCAAAACACAGCCATTAATGCATTTCATTTTTTCTGGGAGGGTACAATATCAATATTTGAATGACCCAATATCAATATTCATGGTCAATCGGCAATTTAGCATGCCTTTTCGATAGGGGTTTATAGTTAAATGTTTTATTGAAGCTCACTGCCTGCAGCATTATGCTTGTTGGATCATATTCCTTTGACTGCCACTCTTATGTTTGTTATTGTTAATGCATTATAGGATCTTGTAATGGAAGTTCAACGAGCACTATACGTGACGCTAACAGAATTCAAAGGGAACACAGAAGATGAGGGTGACTTGGAAGATCTGATCGAGCAGCAATTTGGGACATTGCAGAAGGCATTGAAGATACCTCACAAAGCTTCGGAAGCACGTTTAATGGTATCGAAGAAGTTCCTTACTCTGTTTAGAACTGGCAAACTTGGACCTTTCATTCTCGATGACGTTCCTCATGCTTGACCATTCTGCTTTTAGGGGAGGGAGGGATGGAGAGAAGAGGAGGGAGGGAAAAGAAAGGGGGGTTGTGTCCCCGTGTGTTAAAGTTTGGTGGGTCTTAGGCTGAAAATAGAAGTTTGGCTGGTCATTCACCACCTACCCGGGCCCCCATTTACCACAGTGAGGCCCCAACTCATACGGTTCATGTTTTAGACTCTACTCCATGCATTCCCTGAAAAAATGTCTAAACAGACATGTCTGCAAGTAGTTTGAGTAAATTGATATTTTTTCAGTTAAACCATTCCCCCCCCCCCCCAAAACCAAAAAGGGCGGTAACTACTTGGCGTGACGTGATTGAACGTTTATTGATGAATAATCAAGAGCTTAACTTCCTTAACCAATCTTACTTAATTCTAATGATTGCTTTGCTTAATTTTTATCACGCATTTTCACTGAGTAATCATCGATATAAAGTATTTTTGGCCGCCATAATCTTCAGTATAAGATATAGAAGTTAGCTAGCATATTGCTCACGCATAACGTGACTTATCTTTTCAAGTTCCATACAATACGTTAGAATCCTATTAATTACACGTCCAAATCATGTGTTGAATCTTACTTCTTTGGTCTTATTTACAAGTTAGTTTCAACATGTTTCATAGGGATTAAGAAAAACATTAAATTTTATTAATTCTTATTTGAAATTTCACAACTTTTCAATTTTATTTCTATTAATATACAATTTATTTTATATAAACAAAATAAATATAATAATAATTGAAACGTAAAATTATACATCTATTAAAAAAAAATTACTTTGAAGCGGCTCATCACATGGTAGAGACTACTAACGCTTTTGTGTGTCCCGACACGGTCTCGTGTCCGGCATCCAATTCCAAAAATTAACGTTGATTAGTTAACAATTCCCAACGACCTCTTTTTTTTTTTTGGCTTAATAATGCTTCATCACACACAAGTCAAAAAAGTCTTTAAGTACGCACATTTTTAAAATCAATATTTTTATGGACGAAAATGACGGCCGACCCATAGATTTTGGGAAGATGCTCGTTTTTCTTTTTGGGGGGGGGGGGGTAGAGATGATAAATAAATGTGCAAGTGATGGGTGATGGGCATGAAGAGTACAACATTTATTTAAATATGGCAGCGGCAGACGAGGGCTTGCATGATAGAGTAGTGTGCAGTGCAGAGATATAGGAATTAGAAAAGGAGGAGGCAGCAGCCAATATGGCGGTGGGCAGTAGGAATTATATCGTGTGGGAAGATCTATCGGTGCAGGTTGCTGATGCTTTTGGAGAAGCCAATAATAAGAAGAAGGCGCTTCTTCATGCAGTCACAGGCTTCGCTCAGTCTGCTCGCCTCTTGGCTCTCTTGGGTCCTTCCGGCTCCGGCAAGACCACCCTCCTCCACTCTCTCGCGGGTCTTGCTCTCCCCACCCCCTCCTCTCTCTCCTCTCTACACATTATTCGTCGACTTTAATTGTCATGTATCAGATTTATTCTCTCTCTTTTCATTCATACCAACTTTCTCTTTGATCCTGTTTGCTAACCTCGGGGAAAAACAAGTTCTTACTCCAGTTTTTAATATAAAACATATTTAACTAATTTGATTTGATTAAGAAAGTTAGGTAAGTTAGTTAATTATAAGAAATATAACATGTTTTTCCTAAAATACTATAATCATCTTCTTTAATACTCCTCCGGTCCTTAATATAAGACCCATTTAACTAATTTGATTAGATTAAGGAAGTTAGGTAAGTTAGTTAATTATAAGAAAAGTGACACATTTTTCCTAAATCATACCATATCATCTTTCTAATACCCTCTCTTCCTCTTCTACTTGATTATGGTTGAGGGAGTATCCACAGGGATAATTTAGAGAAAAATGATAAATATGAGAAATGGGTCTTATATTTAGGATAAAAACCAACTTAAGAATTGGGTCCTATATTAAGGACCGGAAGAGTATCATCTTCCTCTCTTCTACTTAATTATGATTGAGGGAGATCTCTAGAGGTAATTTAGAAAAAATTGATAAATATAAAAAATAGGTCTTATATTTAGAGTTAAAATCAATTCAATAATTAGATCTATATTAAGACCCGGAGGAGTATTTCTTTCTTTCTTTTTTGGCCAACAAAACAAGTTATTTTTACATGATATAAGATTCACGATCTTTTTATTTTATTATTAATAATTAAGAAAGTTTCAAGAAGTGAAGGCAAACGGAGGGCAAAGAATTCGAAGTGGAGAGACTCCGTCCCCCGCCTCATATGATATGTGTGTGTGTGTGATATTTAGTTACTACTCCTCCGATCCCTAATATAAAACCCATTTAACTAATTTGATTAGATTAAGGAAGTTAGTTAATTATAAGAAAAGTGACACATTTTTCTTAAAATACCATAATCATATTTCTTAATACCCTTTCTTCCTCTTCTATGATTATGGTTGAGGGAGTATCCACAGGGGTAATTTAGAGAAAAATGATAAATATGAGAAATGGGTTTTATATTTAGGACCAAAACCAACTCAAGAATTGGGTCCTATATTAAGGACCGGAGGAGTATATTACTATTGAAATTCGAATATGTGCGGATGTGTATATACGTTGGATAATGATTGATATAATGGTAGCATAATACAATATCCACACATCGGTTTTGCAATCGAACAAGGAAGCCATGTGAATGTATAGTGGTGGCTGTGCTGTGGTTTTTATGGATGGAGATGGATTAGTTTTGTGTTTGTTGGGGAATTTGAACGGAAATAAAAGCCTGCCACTCCCAATCTGCCATGCATCTTAATGCTGGGTACAGATGTATGCACGCATTAATACTGACACACGCCCATGCCCTCCTCATCGTCTCAAGTCCCTCTCACCCTTCTTATTACGTGACCATCCCCTAGTGTCAATCTTTTCCACCTCACTTTCGTAGGAGCAGAGTTTTAATTTGCTATTTTATTCTCACATTCCCTATAATTCTGGACAGTCAGAGGTACTTTTTTTGCCCCCTCATAAAGTACTCCACTATTATTTATTTTTAATTTTATATCATATTTCGGTTTAGTCCCTTCATTTCATCAGAATATTTTTAATCATTTCATAAGAATATTTTTAATCTGTTGCTACTTTCAAATCATATTTTTTGTGCTAATTATTATTATTTAAAAAAATGTCAGCATTTATATCAGAATATTTTATTAATATTTAAAATTTTAATGTTAATAATTTAAAATTTAAGAACTATTTCATTTTAAACCCTAATATCATTTCCATAAAAAATGAAATTTGTTGTAAATTTTATATACTAAAATGATATTTTATTGTCACATGTTGATATTAATCGAACACACTTATTCATATATGCTATCAAGTTTATGCGCTATTTTTTTTTTAAATTTATATAAAAAAAACAAAGCTTACTTTAAGTTTTATATCTATATTGACATATATTGATAGTAATATTGACGACATTAGTATAAATGACTATTAGCGATAATATTTGTTATAAACTAAACATCTAAAAAATTATTATCAGTAAATCCTCATAATAAGTGAGTAGTTGTTATTTATTGCTCTAAAACTTCTTGCTATTGTAGGATGCTCTTTTAATATTGATACTTTTTAGTAATTATTTTTAGTAATTCATGGATTTTGGTATATTCTTTGTGATTGTGATATGTGAAAGTATAGGATTTATATTTTGATCGTGTTGATATATCAATTCTTTCCAAGTTTTCTCTCTGAGCCTGAAGTCTTTGTAAATTGGTACTTGGTAAGAAATGAAGGAAGATGATAACATTTGTGGGATGATTAATTATCTCTGGGTAATCTTGTGTAATTTTTCCCTCAATAGCTGTGACTCTGAAGTCTGAATTGATAATTTGAGCGCAGGAACACTTGATGCGAATGCTTCAATGACCGGCAATATTCTAATCAATGGAAAGAAGAGAAAGTGGCATCACAGGGAGATTGTAATCTATTGCGATTCATGTTGTTACGTTATGGAGACAATATATATATATGTATTGCTCATGAGAAAAATGAAACTAATCAACTGATTTGTAATGGCGTTTTTTTTGTGTGTGTGTGTGTGGAAATTTTAGTCTTATGTTGCTCAAGAAGAGACCTTCCTAGGAACTTTGACGGTGAGAGAAACTCTCACGTACTCTGCGAAGATGAGGTTGATTTCAAAAATGACAAAAGAAGAGATAAGTAAGGTGGTTCAACAGACTATAATGGAAATGGGACTTGAAGATTGTGCTGATAATCATATTGGGAACTGGCATTTGCGAGGAATCAGTAATGGGGAAAAGAAGAGGCTGGCCATTGGCCTCGAGATTCTGACGCAACCTAATGTGTTATTTCTCGATGAGCCTACCACCGGACTTGACAGTGCCTCAGCTTTCTACGTAATCCACTCCCTGAGACAGATAGCTCATGGTGGAAAAATAATCATGTGTTCGATTCACCAACCGAGTAATGAAATCTTTCACCTGTTTGATGATTTGCTTCTGCTCTCAGGTGGAGAAACTGTTTATTTCGGCGAAGCAAAGATGGCTTTAGAGGTATAACTGATTTAAGCAGAACATTGAGATTCAGATGAAATTTGTGGAAATTTGGAGTTCCTGATTATATCCTTGGAACAGTTTTTTGCTAATGCAGGCTTCCCTTGTCCAACTACAAGAAACCCTCAGATCACTTCCTTCTGTGCGTCAATTTGGACTTGAATTGATCGTAAGTTTTGGGTCGATAGATTGTTTCTATTTGGAAGTATTTTGTGTCAAGTTTCTGAATGTGAATTGTCATTGACAGGCAACATCATCAAATTCTGCAATGGACTTGAAAACATCAGAGAGTAGAGCGGCCCTTATTCATAGTTACAAAACATCAGAGACAATGGTCAATGCAAGAAGAAAGATTCAAAATGATATCTGATGTACGAGATTCTTATTTTGTTTGCAGAAAATTATATTTGACTTCTCGGATCAATTAATGAATTTTAAAATTAATAAAACACCCATAAACTTTAGAATGTAATTGAACATTCCTCTGGAAACAGTGGTTGGTGAATAATATTAAGAAAATGCTCTTATCTTTTTAAGTTTAATAGTGTTTGAATACACTTTAAAGTTCACGTGATACCTTTGAAGTTAGGCCTTAGTTGAAGGTATTAAATGCAGGTTTTCCACGTATTGCTGTACATGAGCATATATGCTGTCGACATGTGACAGATAAATGTATTCTGCGATGCTTAATTGTTTAAGTATTAATCACTTAGAATTGTGTACTCGAATGGGCTCTCTCCGGAGTAAAACCCTGCTATAGGTCTGGGGGGAGGCAATTGATGGAAAACCTCAATTAGGTGAATGAGAAAAGTGATGAGTTTGCAAACTGTTACAGTCGCAGGAAGAAGAAACGGTGATTGAGTCCGACATGAGAACAAGCACTAGCACTTGGTGGAAGCAGCTCTGCACATTGACCCGACGATCCTTCCTGAACATGACTAGGGACATGGGCTATTACTGGCTTAGGATTATTTTCTACTTAATGGTCTCATCAGTGTTGGAACCCAGTTTTATCATATTGGTACACACAACACCTCAATCTTAGCCAGAGGAAAGTGCATATCATTCATCTACGGCTTCATGATTTGTTTATCATGTGGAGGATTGCCATTTTTCATTGAAGAATTGAAGGTAAATTAAGAACTTATCCTTTGGTTTCTGTACAGTAGCTACTTAAAAAAATCATACTGAAATACTCTTTTATGCAATATTAACGGAATTTAGGTTTGTTTACGGGAAAGGTCCAAAGGACATTACGGGGAGGCTGAGTTTGTATTGTCAAACCTCATATCCTCGTTCCCTTTCCTCGTTCTTACATCGATCTTATCTGGCACGATCATATACTACATGGTGCAGTTTCATCCAGGATTGACTCATTATGCATTCTTCTGCATCAACTTGTTCTGCTGCTTATCAGTTG